AGGCGAACACAGCGAGCAGGCCTGTGCGGTACCCACACAGGAGACTTCAGACAACCACTTACTTACGCTTACAGGCAGCAGTTTCTCTATGGTTAAACACAACTTTCTGGGGAGAAAAATGAATGGACAGAAACAACTGTGAGGAAAGATTCAACGTGTGGCAGATCTGCAGCTTTTGTTTGGACTTTTTTTTTGGTCTTTTTCAGACAGGGTCTCCCTATGCAGGTCAGGCTGCCCTTGCGCTGACTGCACTTGCAAGATCCTCCTGCCTCAGCCTCTAGAGGGTTGGGATTACAGGCGTGCACTGCCATGCCCGGCTTTGTTTGGACTACTCATGAGCCCCCTGAAAGGCCTGCATCACACATTTTTACAGGAACATTTATCCAGTGGCACAGAAGAGGGCTGGAACACAGGAGAACAAAAAGGACAGTGTAGGCCCCAGACAGAGGGCTCACTGCCGCATCTCGGGCGAGGCCTTTCATTCCCAGACTATAAAGGGAAGGCTTAAACTTTTCAGTTATATTCTACCACATCTCAGGGAGAGTCATAAACCTGGGGATTCACGAAGGACTTGGAACATTTCTACTGAGTGTCATGGGTCCACTCTATGTCCTCCTCGTCCTGAAATCACAGCACCTTCTCTTTATCCCTCGAAGAATAAAAGACATGTTACTAAAAATTGGAGATCAGCTAGGAAACTGCACTCCGCCCTTCACAAAATAAGACTGCGTGTCACGCGTCTCAGAATGAAGACGACCCAAACGGTCCTCAGACCCTGAAAACACAGGGCTGAGATCTCACAAGCCATCTCTAGTCCTCTCACCTTACAACGCAGAATCCTACTGTACTCAAAGACACTCTGGCAGTAAATTGCCTGGCAGCGGGTGTGGCCGCCTACGCCCTGCCAACGCTCACTCTGCCACTCGCACTTGTACAGCCGATGCACGGGTTACTCCACGCACCCGCGATGAGGGTCCCTGGAATGGCTTGTCTCCAGTGGAATGCTGATGAAGGGTGGATACAAGCACGCCACCAACAGGAACCACTTCTGGCACCCAAGACGCTCATGTGTGTGGGGGTGCGTCATGTGTTCCCTACCCCTGCAATTTGCCTGCATTCTAAGATGACAATTAGCTACAAAACTATTTTCACTTCTGGAGGTGAGTGTGTTGAACTTCTGTTAAAAAAGCTTTAGCTTCTGTTGCAGACATTAAAATGGGATCAAAATATATTCTATTATGTTGAATACTGTATAAAGAAAGCGATTCAATCAGTTGCACTTGTGAAAGTCTCCGGAATGTTCTGCAAAAGAAGAAAATAGCGCTGACAGGGAGAATGGAAGTTCTTCCTTAGGCGATGGCTTCCTAGGTTCAGCTTTCCGCGTGGGCCAGGTGATGAAGCAGAGTGAGCACACCCCTGAAAGCCAAGCGTGCAGTGTGCAGGATGAAGAATTATCCAGAGCTCTCTTGGGTACTTTTCTTCCTCAAGAATAGTGCAAGCAAGAGGCGTCTGGATGGGAACAGGGCTACTTTACTTTAGGTGGAGACTATTTTACTATAATAAAAGCAAAGCTCTATAAACACGTCTCCAGGATGAAATGAAGAATTTTACAAAGACAACTTTGTGTGCTTTTATACATTCTATGTGGCATCCTAGTGTACTGAAATGGTTAAGTACCACATTAATGGAACAGCTCGATAGCCAGACTAAGATAAAAAAAAAAAAATCCTCCCCACAAAACCCCCAAAACATCATAGAATGGATTCTCAGCTTCCAGCTCCCCACATGGATCACTAACGAGTCACACATCTAGGGACACTGTCCTTGACATCTGTTCTCGCAGGCTCAGTCCTGGCTGTCACAGGAGTCAGCGTGGCATCCTGGCTTCCACAGGGACTCTCTTGCACCCTTCACAGCTCTCAGAACACATGCTTCTCAGTCTTCCCCAGCTCTACAGGTTTACAAACACACCATGCAAGATGTAATCAAGACAAGCAGAAGCGATGGGAGAAAGGCAGAGGACAGAGGGCCGGCTGCTCCCAGCGGGTGACAATCAGATCCATCAGACTGTTTCTTTGTTGAAATATATAACTTAAAGTAACTAAACCCACAGAGCAATTATTTAAAATATAGTAATCAATTGTTGTTCACATTTTGAAAGTACTTAATCGAGCACAATTTTAGGACTGATCAGTTGCATCTCACCACTAATTCCCAGACAGCAGTGCTGAGAACACACAGGTGAAGTCAGCTAGTTACCTCTTGTGAAGGAACCTAGAATGACTTTAAACTAAACCACCGACCGTGGTTCCTTCCTTTCTAGGATCCCTTACTCCCTCTTCCTTTTGCATATCTAATTTAAGCTTGGATGTGTTAACCTGTCTTGTACAACACCTTTCCCCCATTATTTTCTCCTACTTTCAAAGCAGTGAAAAATATTTGTGCAGTCCTAGTTTTTCTTTCTCAGAATTTCTCTTTTCTTTTTTCTTTTGTATTGTAGGGAAGGATCTACAGGGTGTTCAGAGTCTCACTACTAGATGGGACTTGTAGTAATCCACCTGTTTATAGCCTCCCAAGAGCTTGGATTACAGGCACGCACCACCATGCCCAATCTAGAGTTTCTTATTATGACAGAAATACAGATACCCAACAGCAAATCTGCATTCTGTTATTATATTACTAGGAAGACTGGTAAAGACAATACAGTCACTGTCACTTTGAAGAGTTAGCTAAATCCTAAGTCATATGGCTGGTTAGGGCGAAGTGATGCCTTCCATTAATAATTCCACAGAAATGAAAGAGCAAAGCACAAATGGATCCCACTGCCCAGGACTGCTGCTGGATGCCCGTGCTTACCCTTACAGCTTTGATATGCGACCACACTCACTCTTGCTTGCATTCTGGCTTCACTCTTGATTTCTAGTATACACTAGAAGGCCTAAAGCTAGCATTTATAGGTCTGGGGTTCTTTAAATTTGGGGCACTTAGAGCAAACCACCCTAGCAGAACTCTTACCGTCTTTCCAGTGGGCGCCCATCACTGGAGATGCTTCGCGGAATGTTGGCGGCTCTCTCTGGAGGAGGCATCTTCCCATCTCCTTTCCCAGCATTCAACCTTGAGGTCATGGGGCTCTGAACCTGGGCTGGAACTTGAGGTGCATGAGGCGCTTTGTTGGCATTTCGCTGCCATTTGTTGTTGTTTCGGAAGGGAAATTTGAATTCATATGACGCGCCTTCATTCATTTTGTACTCCATCACTGGCATGCGGTAGGTTTCGGAGCAACTCCTATCAGGGGCAAGGCACAGGCGGAAAAGCAATACTTTTGTCTTGTGGAGAAAACCACATTGAGTTTCATTAACACAACAGATCCAAAACTGCATCCTTTGTTTCTAACCCTTGGGCTCTGTATTATCCTTTCAAAATGCAGAATTTGTGGAGCTCTAACACTAGTTTTTTTTTTCCTTTTACTCAATCCCAATCATTGGGACTAAAATACCCATCAACAAGATGATGGCTACCCCAAAAGGTGGCAGAGTCTTAGGAGACGGGCGGACAGAGGGACAGCTGGGCAAAGGAGCAGACGCTCTGAGCACGCAGCCCTGAAGTAAACAAGTCACTTCTGTACTTCCTTCACCGTATTGTAGCTGGGGACCTAAGAGAGAGTGCAGAATTCAATTTGTTGGGATTGCAATAGTCCAGAAATAAGTTGGGTGAAATTTTAAAATCTAAACTGAGAGCAAAATTTAGTTTAGGAGGCAGGAAAACAGAATTATACAAATGATGGAGTCATTAAAAATCTTGGGAAAAAGCATGATGTGAAGTCAGACTTTTTTCAAAACAAGAAATTTCTCATAGTGGGGTGGCAGCCTCACAGGGACCACCTCTCACAGGTAGCAGCCTGTGCAAACTCGCTAGTAGCCATGTGTATCTTGTCACGTTAGCCTCAGTTGGTGGCATCATCTAAAATACCAACTCTCAGGAAACTGAGAGCTCACTTGCCATCTTTAAACCCCAACATCTGGGAGAGGTACTATCTGTTAAAACTTGACTGACAGACAAATTCTACTCCCACTAAAACATCAACTCAATTGGTGATAGACATCTCATCACTAAGTGAAAAACTCTGTTCCTATAGGAATTTCAAGGACTAGAAAACACAGGGAGAGACTTGGAAAGGTGTTAACAGAGCATTTATTAAACTGCCCTTCATGTAGTGAGTGATTCAGATAATGGAGGTCTGAGGCACTGCCACCCATGGCAAGTGGAACGAGAGTTAGGTGGCTATGCCACAAATGTGCTACTAAAATTTCTAGTGGTCACATTAGAAAGTACAGCAAAACTGGAGAAAATAACTTAATACATTTTATTTAACTCAATATATCAAAAATGTGGGGGCTGGGGAGATAGCTCAGTAGAATAAGC